TTGTTTAAATCAAATAACACAGTTAAATGATTCATCTTGTACTCCATATCCCTTCCCTCCTTGCCTCCAATTATTGTATTACAAGATCTCCTTTGTCTTATATCCTCCAATAACTTTCCTTATTTTCCCGCGTTATAATCAACTAAGGCAATCTATTTTCGCTACAGTGTTATGTAATCAATTGATTGATTTAGCTATTGCTCTTGTTTTCCTGATAAATTTCCTCTTATATATATGGGGAAAGTGACGCAACTCATTATCAGATCAATGGAAAAAAGTGACAAATAATACAATGTAATACGAAAAATTGGAAGGAGGAAACTGTTCTGAGGAATTGGCATGAGCACTCTGGAAGAGTCGGCGTGGGGAATTGAGGTCACTAGTACAAAATTGAACTTCTGGGATTAAAATTGCACTTGGAGACTTCTCTAGCAAGCACATTGTAGATGGCGGATTCTTATCTCCGGAGAATTTAGAGTAGTCACGGGGTTCGGTCTGGAATTGATTAGACTTTTCATGGTGCTCATTTTGTATAGTCAATCTCTTCTTGACTTATTGTAGAGTATCATGTAATATTCCAAGGAAAAGAGAATTGCAAGATTTTCTGGGATATTAACCTAACCATCTCCCTTTTTGTGACCATTGCGCTAGCGATTTAGTTATTGTAACTGCGAAGCTTTATTCATGGATTATTTTCATTTTCAAGGTAATGACTTAGTATGTGATTTTCAGGTCCTTTGAAGCCAAGAAAACAATCAAGATGAGTTTTCGAGAAAATCCACATTTCCAAGAGGCAGAAGAACATATGCTGGAACCGGTAATAAGGCTGCCACTTGTAGATGCACTTCGAAGAATTTCATCGAAACAGGGTATTTGCTTAGTTCTGAGATGTAACATACATTATCGTTATGTGACTCCCAAAAAATATCGTTTTATGATATCAAAAATCTAATTGTTTTAAATTATTCTTCACCCTCGAAAACTGTCTTGTTTTATAGATACACACTGCGGGTTTTTTGAATCGCAATATTATCACTGCTTGGAAGCCTTCGGACAAAAACTAGGCCGAAAATACTGCGATTTGGAGCGCCGGGACTTCAATGAATGCATTACAAATTACAAACAAGTATTTTTTTTCTTATTTTCGATGATTTTGTAAATAAATTTTAGAAGTTGCAATTTGAGATCTGAAATTTATGAAAAAATCTCGCTTTTTAGTTTAAATTTGCCGTAAATATATATGGCTTTAAGACCATTTTAAAGAGTTAAGCTGAATTACTCCAATTTAAATTAAGCTTGAAAAAATATCGTTATTGATTTTTCTCATTTTAAGAAAAAACGTGCTGAATGGATCAGATTGCAATATAAACTGCACTGGGATACCAAGAAGCACGGACCACTTCCAGAAGGTGCAAAACTTGGTGAATGTTATCCGGATTATTTTTCTCATAATCCTCCAGATGCAATTCATTAAAAGACTCCAACTCTTTGCCATGTGAGAATTATTAATGGTTTCGAAGAAATATGAACTATACAATATAATGTAATTAATTCAACAATTCAGTTCTATATAATGTGATTAACTTTAAATGCATTAGGCTTTTTTATTCCTTAATATAATGTATGTAATTTATTTTTTTTTCGTGCATGTCTCTCAAAATTTAATTTTTCAATTTTTTAGGAATGGAATTATTTATTTTTTGTGCAAATTTTTAACATAGTTTTTTGAAATGGAATATATCAAAATCAGATCACTTGATGTATTCCATTTTTCTTATTCAACTCTGGAGATATTCTACCTATTCTGTGAATACCATTTTTGGCTCTAGATTGTTTTTTTATTTAAAATCATGATCATTTCCTTGTTCCGGTTTTTATTTTTGTCTATTTTGAAATTGCATTGGTTCTGTATTATAATGAATAAAAGATATGAATATGATTTCATGCCACATAAAATACTGGTTTATTCAAACCCGCGGTTTATTCAAACATGCATTGTTGAAACACTGATAATTTATCAATGGTCAATGGAAAGTATCGAAAGTTGTTCTATTTATGAGAATGATTTTACAAAGTTACATAATTATGCTTCTGTTTTTTATTGTATTGGAAATGGGTAGTGAGAAAGTGGCAATTATTATTTGGTCGGAGAATCTACGAAAAGTTTTTACTTAGTTATCCTTGAGAACCAGGGCACGAAACTTTTTTTATTGCAGAAATGGCGTCTGCGGAGATGTATGGGTTAGAATGGTGCAGACGTAGGCGAATACCAATTGTTCATATGGCCCGCATGGTTCAAAGTCGTGAACTTGGTAGCCGGAAACCAGGTTCCGTAAATAAACTCTATAGTAAATGCAGATTTTACCATTTGCAACTTTGCTGCGCTAATTAGTACAAGAAGTATTGTGGTAAATTGCGGAAGACCATATTTCAAACAGTTCATGCAATTATGTGAATTTCATTTTTTATTTAGGAACGAATTTCTTTTATGGTGCTCGACAATTTTATCAGTGCTTTCATCCAGGCTGTAGTATATCAGGAGTTGACAAGAAAAATTTAATTATTAGAAGGTTGTTTCTCATTTAATTATTTTGGATTGAAATAATAAAAGAAGGATATCTTTTGATACTTACTCTAATGAATTGTAATTCCAAGTTAATTATTTATTTTAAGCGAAAAACTGTTGGAAACTCCACCAAAAAAAAACTAAGAAGACTCTCAGTTTTCAATTCTCAGTTCTTGTTTCAAATATGGTGTACAATAACTCCAGAAAAATAAGTTAAAAACGGCTAGTTTACTGAATTTTTCAAATTTGAAAGGTATTCCTTATAGATTTTCGCCAGATGGACGTAGTCTCGTTTGCTTTTCTTCAAACTGCCATGATTTGTATGTTCATGATTATCGTGGTTTTACAGATGCTTACAACAAGCAGCCGGAAACCATGTTTGAGGTGGATTTTGCATTTCAGTAAATCATTAATTATTTTCTCTATGAAATGTTATTTATTTTGCAAGAGAAATATGCAGCAGTCTTCGTTTTCTCTGTCTTACATTCAGTAAGAATACGTATAAAAGTTTTGATGAATCAGGTTTGCATAATTTGACTTAATTATTCCCGAAATGTTCTTAACTACACTTTTTTGATTCAGTATCTCATTTCCTTTGTTCTAGATTATTTTAATATTGCATGAAAAATTTATTGTATTTTTTGTCTTTTTTTTATACAGCAAATATTTCACTTCTTCAGGACGTTTTTCGGGAGCGCTTTGTACTGAACTTGATAACTGATGAAGAAGAAGGAGCCGTTTTAAACAAAGAATTCGTTTTTTTTACAGAGGATTGCCGTTATTTATTGGGTTTGCGTTTAACAAAAACATATTGTTCTTTCAAGTTTCAAAGGACAAAAAAATTACACTCTCTTGCTTAAAGAGCTAAGTTTAAGAATGTCGTTTTAATATCGATATTGAGAATGGTCTAGATAAAGGTTGTAAAATCCTAGTGGGAAATATCTTAATGAATTGCGTTGGCTGTTTTGTAATTTCTCAAAGCTTAGTAAAGCTGAGAAATAAACACTAACTTAAACACGAACTATTTCAACACTAAAGCAGTAACGGCATACGCACTATGTTTTATTTGCAGTTGCTGCGGAATATCCTACATCGGAAAATGCTCTAAGATGGAATGATGTTTATCAAAATAACGAGTCACTTCCTCCAGTTTCAGTACAAGCACTCATAAATTATATCATTTATTGCATCGACATAAATGTTAGGTTTTTAAAAATTTCATGTACATTTGTTTTTTCTTTAATTTGGTACATAAAAATAAAATTTGAATGGATTTTACAGAAGTAATATTCCCACTGCTTGATAAGAATATATAAATTATATTAATTTCTAAATGTATTAGAAGACAATCAAGTTGACGGCGAAATAATAGCAGAATTGTTAATTTTTTAAATGAAACTGGTTTTCTAGACAGGTGATATCTGTGACAAATATTACCTGGAAGCAGATCGTCTTTGGATATCACGTGGAGTAACCCTGATGGGATATCTCCTTGCTATTCTATCATTTCAACATCAAACGATTCATTTTTTGCATATTAGTGAAGACACGGGTTATTTCACTTTACTCGGCCATATGGGACGGTCAGTTTTGTTTTTTAACCTCAAATTGAGTTCATTTCCGAAAAACTCTTGCATTTAAATAAATTACAAAAAGAAAGTTTGGTGAATTACGCTGAGGACATTAAGTTTTCTGCTTTCCTATCTAAAGCTTTATATTTTTTGAAGTGCAGTATGGTGTAAAATTTAGGTATCTTATATTGGAGAACAAAGTTTTTCTTTACGGGATTTGTTTTTTCAAAACATCTTTAACTTTTCTATGGTAGTAATTGGGGAACAAATTTGGAAAAGATTCAAGAAATTTATTCTGAGATTTTTCTCTACTAACAAATAGCTTTATTTAAATTTCCAAATTTAATTTGTATGATTTTCAGGTATTTGTTTGCTGACGATGAGGATCTTGTAATGGCAGCTGAAAAAAGTCCGGATAGTCCTACCACGGATGTTGTTCTTAGCGGTTGGTTTTTATTTCGCCGATTAATTGTCATCTGAATTTTGAAATAACTAGGTACTTATTGTTTCCCGTCAAAATAATTTTGTATTAATATTTTATCAAATTCTTATTGTTTAAATTCTTGTCATTTAACAGTTTTTTTGAAAAACTGAATTATAAGGCATCATTTACTATACAGTTCAATTTTGCGAGTTCTTTGGTAAGATGGGTATCTCAGTAACGTCTAATATGCATCCCCTAGCAAGATGGAATTAACACTGACGTTTATACATAATCCTCAATAAAAATTATGGTCTGTCAGCAGTTTCACAGTAATTTTCTTTGATCTATTTAGCAGATGTGTTGTAAGCGGTTTGGTCTGACCTTAGCTGACTGAAACAGATTATTACTTTTTGAGCAGGCCAATATCTTGTGCAAATCTGTCGTTCTCTATCTATTATTTATTCTAAGATATTTAAATGTTTTTTAAAAGAAATCCACAAAAATCAATTGTCAATTTAATTTCTATTATTTAGGAACTTAAGTGTGAAAATTGATGATTTTATAGGAATAAAGCAACGAATTTTGACATATCTTTATCATCGATGTACAGATTCAACTCAAGTTGACAATTTTTTGCACACTTTCGCACAGTTTCGATCGCTAAGAATGTGGCAAATGCAGTTGGTCACTCAGAGCGTTATATTAATCCGTTTTGTGAACGAAGGTGCTAGTTTCTTGATCCTAATTTTTTTTACTTACACTCACGGAAATAGATATATGTTTATTAACTTGACCATACTTTCCCATGACATTTCATGTAGAGGCGTTTGCTGCGACCCCAGGAATTGGCAGCTACCCATTATTATTCGTGTTGATGGACTGGCAGAGAGGTGATATCCTGGGTGTATTTGATCGCTATTCAGCGAATTTTTTGAAGCTGATAGAAAAATGTCAAGAAGAGCTGAAGTATGCTCATATTTTATCGAATCGTTTCCCTTGCACCATTCAACACTGCCAACAAGCGCTGATTGCCTATCAACGTATGAAAGATGCACTTACTGATGCTCGAGGAGGTTAATATCACAGTTTATTGTAATTTACAAATTAAATTTCTTCTCAGAATTTAATTTCGATTGCTTTTTAATGCATAGAGCTTTAAAAATGGACAATTACAGTATTTAAAAAATTACTATTTATACACCGAAATTTCATCACTACAGTCTAGTTGAAGTGGATGAAATAAGTGGTAAATGACAGAGACTCTGAGCGCATCAGATATGTAATTTTGCTAATGCCAGAATCAAGAAAATCTGTTCAACAACCATGAGAAAATTGTCTAACTTCACTATGCTAACAAACAGGATATTTTTTTACAGATTTCTTTTATATGAAAGTCGAAAAGTTTCATTCATGTCACGTATCAGCTGATATGTAGTTGATTTACAAATGTATGAGGAAACTTTTAATCAGGAATGTATTTATTATAGATAATGTTAAAAGAGGCTCATATATGTGATGTTTAACCAATTAGATATGTTAGTTATAGGATCTGATAGGGAAACACGCAGACGTATTATATGTCAGTTGCCTTATTCATTCAGTTATATTCCTGTAGAAACTCCATATTTGGATCCATCAATGTTTCGTTTTGATGATCGACTAATTACACTTATTGAACGGACCAAATTAGCTGACAGTGACGTGATTCGGTTAGATTTATCACTTTCTATTATTTCAACTTTTCTGGTGTTTGTTAAAAGACTTAAGATCTGTTGGAAATTCATTTAACGCATTTTTTAATGGAATTAAGAAATGTTAGGCATAATTTAAATGGCTTTCTTTTATAATAGATTAAAACTAGTTTCTTCTTTCTCCAATTCCTCTCCTGTAAACATTGTTGATAGAGTGATTGCTCCTACTCGTTTTCCTAATGCACAGCTTCTTAAGTAAGTTTCCAACAAACAGACAAGAAAATGAACAAAGCGCCATTTTAAAATGCTTATTAAGCTTTTCAATTTTTTTTTTATTAAGATATGGAGAATTCTTCAAGCGTTTTAGACTTCTCAACAGTTGGTTTTTTAATATTGAGAGTTAAATTCTCTCGAAAAGGGATAAGAAATGCAATTTCAAAGACTATAAATATTATTTTTTGACGAAACCGCCAAAACAGTGTTAAATTCAGGTTTTTCTCTCGTCTAACATGTTTGCCGTTATTTGAAATGAATCTCAATCAAGGTCGCTTTGTTCAACTTCTCTTTCATCCTACAGATCCGTTCGCTATTTCAGTTGATCGCACTCGCGGCTTTGGTACTGCCACTTTCCATTTACCATCATTTATTACACCA